GCGCGCGTTGGTGGGTGTAAAGTTTTCCTCTATGAAAATGTGAGTTTTTGGAACATCTTAAAAATACAGTGCTTCGGGGAGAGAATCTTATTTAGATGAGATTAGATGTTGTGAGGTGGAAGGTGGGAGAATAATGTTGCATCACAGTCTTGCTTTTCTATAAAATTTATCTTATGCTGCTTTCATCAGAGAAGAATCAAATTCACCAGGGAGAAGAATTTTTGACCAGACTAGGACACTTCAGGAAGCCCACCAGATGCCTTCTTCTAACCGATGGGTTAATTAATTAAACAGTGTCAAATATTTGATATTGATACAACACACATGCAGATCTTATCTTCTGTTTACCATGATTTAGCAATCATTAGTATTGTATTATTCTTTGAAAAATCAGTTATGGACTCTATAAAATTCATTAAATAAAATTATGATTAAAGTCATTGAAATTCTTATTAACCCATGTAGGTTAAGAAACAGCTGAGGGCTAATTTGAAGCAACTTTCAGCCTATTCTTTGTATGCTGGTCAGTATATATTTATCATAAAATTATGATAAACTGTGTTATGGCACAAAAGAAGTAAGTCATTGCTGATGGTTATTTTTTAATCTTATCAAGAGCTTCTGTTATTTTTCAAAGTAAGAAACAAATGAAGAAGATCCTTTAAATGTTACTGAAACAACATTTCAAATCTAAACATTTATTGGTTTCCAAATTCTTACTATTTTTACTAAAGAGACAAATTGGGAATATTCTTTAGGTTATTTCAAACCTGAGTAAGCATGATTTCAGCTTACTTTCCTTTATAAAATGCATGTTTCCAATTTTTGCATGCTTTTTTTTAAATACACAATTTCTTTTTAATATCCACTTTATGATCTTGATATGGATAAGAGAAATGAGTGTGGTTATAATTAAAACAATGTTACATTAGTGTTATTTAATATATTATGCTAAAACGCTTATTTCAGGCTTCATTAATGTGTTTAGTGATCGGAACACTTTAGTAAAAGAAGTCTTTGTTATTCTGAACATGCTGTTGTCATTGCTAAGGGAGGAAAACTCAACTAATTACAGAACACAATCCTCTAGCATAAGTGTGCAACATTTTCCCAGCCAAGGGCCACACTTAGCTGTTGAGTGTCATACAGAGGCACTTTCCAAAAAGGAGTTGGTAGAGCCAAGACAAAAACTAACCTTCACTTATTTCATACATTTTTCCATTTAACTGAAGTTAAAGATCTTAACACAATTCCCTCCAGTTACATATTTAATAAATTTCCTCTTCTGTAGTATTAAAAAGGATAGTGAAAAATTTGAGGATGGTTTGCCCTAAACCTTGCTGGAAGGCAGTTGAAAATATAATGATAGCAGTATAGCAAGACTTTCCCAAACAGAGGCGTGCTATAATTGTGGACTTTTCCAAACAGTGGCGGGAGGATTTACTGGAGAGAAAGAAGGATACCTGCCAAGACGTTGGGAGTTGACTTCATTGCAGATTTTGAAGATGCTACCTACCTAATTCTAACAAGTAGCATATTTCTGGACCGTTGAAGACTGATACTGATCTCTCAACCAAATGTTGAGTTCAACCAAGAAATCAGTTCAAAGGAAAGCTCTTTTTAAAATATCTGTCTATCTGTCTGAAATATTAATCAGAAAATCAGGAAGAAGCTTGTTTGGTTCCACTAACCAGTTTAGGGTTTCTTTTTGACATTGACTCTTAGACATGCATAGATCAAGCTGTTCCCCAAACTGACAGTTGAAGAGGTTTGGCTACTCAGAAGTGCAATCAAGGAAAAATGTTTTTTTTTTTTTTCATTCCTTTTTCAGAACCATACAGAGGCTTAAGATGCTCAGACCACTGAGAATATGTTGCAGTGTCTCCTTTCCTTTTGTACCTCAGTTTCACACGTCTTTTTTCCCTTGTATGTGGTAGAGAGTAACAGTACAGTTGAATACAGGAATAGTCCCTAATTTTGCTAGGTATATTTTTTTCTGGAAATTGATTTCCATACATTTTACTTTGGAGGTTTTCTTTTTTCTTTTTAATAACCTTGTTTCTTTGTTTAATGTCGGCACAAAGGTGATTACCTAATGGCCTCAAATCATATTATAGTGACAAGGTTTCAAATACCCTAACTTTCTAGAAATGTAAGTTGACCGAGTTTACAGAAACATGGTTTTTTGCTTCTCCTCTTATTCCCCAAAATCTGGGATTTGGAGTCACATTGAACAGTCAGAATGTATTTCATTCTTCCTAGCTAATGCCCTTTGAGTAGCCAATACCTGCTGTGCTCCATTAATTCTACGTAACCACTAGAAATTCTGCCAAACTACGGTACATATCAATATTTGCTTATTAGTATTTTGATCATTCTTAATACTGAGATTTAGTGAAACTAGGCATTCTTTTTATAAGTCTTGGGCTTCATAGGTAAAAATAAAAATGTATATTTGTTGGCAATACAACTGCCTTATAAAGAAGGTGTTATTATTCAGTTGTGTGGAAGAGGAATTAGTTGGCAGATAAAGATGTATGGACAAATGTGAGATGGATATGTGGAAACTGTATGTAAGTGTGTGTGTGTGTGTGCGTAAAAGAAGAAAGACTGATTAGTAGATATTGATCACACTTTTCCAATCTGGTGCTTTTCAAATACAGTTTTAAAATTTCCACCCATCGTGGCCAACAATTATGCTAGCAGGAATTTATAGATAGCAAAACATGCCATGGAATGTTCTTACTCAAAATGGGCCATTCTGGGTGTTTTGGAAGAGGGTCAGCCTCAGAAGAAGCTCTTCCAAGTGTTCCAAAAGCAGTCCAATCATGGAATGAGCCAGTTTTGAAACTCAAAATTTCAGCTTCAGTTTTGAAGTTTCCAGAATGCTCAGAACAACCTGTTCCAGAGGTAGAATTTTCTGTGGCAGAACTTTATGGACACCCTTGTTTCTGCCTGGTGTACCCTATGATATTTGAAGAAAAATAAGTTGGGAGCTTGATGAAGATATATTTTATTTATATTTATAAATTAAATATGTGAAGCCACCCAACTCACAATGACTCTGGGTAGTGTACAAGTTAAAAACGTAGGTCAATACAGTAAACCAGATAAAGTGATAGGCAGGGAAAGAGCATCTGTCAACAGAATAGCACAATCACCCTCCGGGGCGCATACTCGACTTAACTCAGGGCCTGGGGGAAAAGCCAGATCTTTGAGGCCCATTTAAAGGACAGCAGGGTTTGAGCTACTCAAAATTGGGGGTGATAGTATTCCAGAGGGCAGGAGCCACAACAGAGAAGGCTCATCTCCTGGGACCCATCAGATGACACTGCTTTAATGATAGGACCTGGACCATGACCACTCTTGAATGGTCCCTCATATAGCCAGGCCCTATGCTGTGATGGGCTTTACAGATCACAACCAGCACCTTGAATTGCCTCCAGAAGCTTACTGATAACCAGTGCAGCTCACCCAGCAGAGGTGTTACATGGACATACTTAAGTGCTCCCATAACTCTCCATGTTGCTGCATTATGGTCTTCAAGGGCAGCCCCATGTGGAGTGCAACACAGTGGTTTACAGGAGGGTGTGCATAATTGTGAGAACGGCTCCTCAGATGACCACAAGTATCCAACCCACCCTGTATTGGGTTCGCAACTGATGCCATGCCTGAAATTGAGTTGGGAGTATCTCTGAGAGAGGAAACCCCTTCGGGGGACATCCTTGTCAGCGGCCTCATCTAGCATAAGGTCATGGATTACAAACTCATTTGGCATACAGCACCAGTAATTGGAAGCCAGGGCCACTGAGGATCCAGAGACTTGACATCAAGGCTGAACACTAGGGTCCTGAAGATAGTATTGGTTTCAAGCATCAACTCTGCTGTCCCTGAGAATGCCCACCCCTGCTTTCCACCATGCCTTCTCTCCAGCATCATTCTTCACCACTACACTAACCACCCTCCCTCCCTTTTTCCCAGGACCCAAGATACACCGTCTAACCAGCCAACAATCAACCATGCACCCCAGCCCAAATGTCAGCTGGCAGTGTATTTCCTTTTAAATATCTGTCTGTGTCACACTGATATGTGTTATACATATGCATACATTCACACACAAAATAGGCAAAAAATAGGTGTCACATACTCCATTCTTCTGAACCTGGGAGAGAGAAACATTAGGACGCAAATTAACTAACATAGAAATTGTGGCAATGTTTTTGCTTTCCCAACTTCCTCTTTGGATATTTTTACACATCAAGCTGTCTGATAATAAATAAAATTATTTCACTTAAGTAATATAGCATTATCAACATACATTGTGTTTTTCAGAAAATAAGACCTTAAGAAACCAGAATTGTAGGATTGATTGGGTACATAGGAAACAAAACGCAGTTATATCAGTTCCACATGCTTAGTATTAGATAAAGTGGGAACATGGGAATTTCAGTAGTTCCCCAAGTCCTTTCATGGAAATATTTGCTCTGATGATTTGAGAATTTGATTACCATTGATTGATTGATTGATTGATTGATTGATTGATTGATTGATTGATTATGTGCCTTCAAGTCGGTGTTGACTCTTAACAACCACATAAATTGATTTTCTCTGTGACAATCTGTCCCTAAGTTGGTCTTTCAGGTTTTCTAACCGTGTACTCATCACAGAAACTAAGTCCATCCACCTTGCTGCTGTTGTCCTCTTCTTCTCTTTCCTTCCACGTTTTCCAGCATTACAGCTTTCTCCAGAGAGCTAGGTCTTTGCATAATGTGTCCAAAGTAGGATGATTGCCTGGTCATTTGTGTCTGGTCATTTGTGCCCAGATCAACTCTGAATTGATTTGTTCAATGATCCACTGGTTTATTTTCTTGACTGTCCACGTTATCCTCAGGAGTCTTCTCCAACATCAAAGCTCAAAAGTGTCAATACTCTTCTATCCTGCTTCTTCAAAGTCCAAAATTCTATTATCTTAATAGCCCACTATTCTTTCTGTGTTTCAGGATCACACTCATACAGATATGCCTCAGTATCGCCAGGACCATTCTTTGATTATGAGATCTGTTGTCCACATGACTGAAGCCACTCGTTCAGGAATTATGCCTCCTAATCAGCTTACTACTATTAACCAATCCCAGCTAAGTGCTCAACTGGGATTAAATCTAGGGGGTACCAATTTGCCACACACATCTCCTTCCCCTCCTGCAAGTAAATCAGCAACTCCCTCGCCGTCCAGTTCTATAAATGAAGAAGATGCTGATGATCCCAACAGAGTAAGTTACAGCACACGCTAAATAAATAAATAAAACCCTTTCAGCCTAAAATAGATTAGAACAGTAGGCACCTCCCCAAAATTCAAAATCATTTTAAGAACGGTTGGATTTTTACAAGATAACCCCAACTTATGAGATTTCTGTGGTTTTGCTCCTGCAAGATTTCAGAATTCTTGCCCCAAATAACAGATTTTCAGAGAATTTTGGGGAGTTACCTATCTGTGGGTATGATTACCTAGAACCTGTGAGTGTTCTATTGCAACACCATGCAAGAGAGAATAAATTCTACCTAAATAGATGGGAGTGGGTTACTTTGTCGGTTTGTTTTTAAAAAGAAGAGTTGAATGTATAGAGAGGCACCATCTTTATCCAGTTGCATGATAGATGCTTATGAGAGATCCATTGTTGCTCCTGTACGACTTTTTCAAAAGAAGGATGTTACCAGTACAAGGGACAAGTTTCCCACCTTATAGATGCAGTAATTTTGTTTGTCCTCTCTGTCTGCAATGCTTTTGACATTTTAACATGCCATCTTGTTGGGTATCCATGTTTTTAAAAATGACGTATTCCTTTCTAAAAAGCAGCCTGTACCTTTTCATGAAAGTCTTGCGTGTGCTCTCAAATTCATTTTCATCTGAGATTAAATGACCGCACGAAAGAAAGGTGGCAAGCTGAGAAATATATCTGAACAACATCAATCTGTTTTGGAAATGGAAACAAATAGCAGAATTTTATATGTGTGTGTTTCTAGCATGACACCTGTTTTTCTTTGGCTTTATTGTCCCTGGGGTGGGGCAAACCTTTGCCATTATTAACCTTAAGCCAGAGGATCAGAGCAGGTGATGGCAAACTCTAGAAAGAGGTTGGTGTGCAGGTTCCTGATGAAAACCAGGAGATTTGCACGTGTAGAAGGCCTAATATTAATCGGTGGATCTATCAAGGGCCCTTTCTGCTAGAACTGTGCCTACAGGCTACAGAGGGCAGCTGCAGAGGGATTCATTGGAGCTCAGAAATGATTGAAGAATAACTCTCCTAATTGTTCTTTGACCTGGAAAAATTAACAAAGGCATTGGAAAGAGCGTGAACAAAAGGGCTGAAAAAGTACGAAAAGTTGCTTCCTCTTTCTTTCACTCAGAGTATCTTATTTCTCAAATGCTAGTGGCTTCCATATGGCACCAGAGACATCTTTAATGCTCAGTTGCTCTAGCTGTGGAATTTGGCAGGGTGAGAACTGAATGGAGAGAAATAGGCTTAGGGGCAGAATGTGAGCTGGGGTGAGTTGGGCTTTTTTAGGATTGAAGTAGGTACCTTAACTTCTACAAACTGGGTAGCAGTTTGCTCCTGGTCCCCTCAAAAGTCTGAAAAATGGAAACACAAAAATAAAATGGTCCAAATTTTGAGACCAGGTCTTTCTGAAGGCCACACATGAGATGCTGGTGGGCTGCAAGCAGTCCCCAGGCTATTCTTCAGTGGATGTTTTCAAAATGAGTCAACACTGATAGTTTACAACGAATTGTTACCATTGTCTACGTAGAAAGTATTTGAGGTTTTAAACTCTTAATGCTCATGCTGTCAGAGGCACACTGCACATGGGCGAGTGTGTGTATTTAAAACAGAGCACCAACTGTACATGATAAAGCTATTTTCTGTTCATGGTTTGGAGTTCACCTGTCTGTGGCTCCTAAAAGCAGCTGTGCAAGACCCAGGGAGAAGACCTGCTTAGTTTAAGGAGCTGTAGACAAGTGCTGTGATGTGCCTCGGCTCACTTTCAAGCATCTTTTCCCTTCAGACCCCAAGCACTTTACCACCGTACTATCTTTACAACATCTTGCGCTGAATAGACAGTTCTCATGTTCCTTGTTTCTGCTTGTAGGCTGCTGGAGAGAAAAGAGCTGCACCAGATTCTAGCAAGAAGCCCAAAACTCCAAAGAAAAAGAAAAAGAAAGACCCTAACGAACCACAGAAGCCGGTGTCCGCATATGCCCTGTTCTTCAGGGACACGCAAGCAGCAATTAAAGGCCAGAACCCGAACGCTACCTTTGGAGAGGTTTCAAAAATTGTGGCTTCTATGTGGGATAGCTTAGGAGAAGAGCAAAAACAGGTAAATGGAGGGATGCTTTGGGGTTTTGGGGGCTGAAGATGGATGGAAAGGTGCCAGAGATTACAGTCCATCTAATTAAACAGCAGTGGGCTGATCTTTTTGAACTTCGTTAATTAGGAAGCTAGCACAGATGGGAACATGAGTATGCTGTCTATCATCTTGCCTGAGAAACAAGACTCAAGATCTACTTGGTGGTCTTAAATTGTAGTCC